CTACCGATTCTCGGGTAAGGACCTTTATATTGTTTTGCAAAAGACTCTTAATTGGATGGGGTGGAACATTCACATTCAGTTGTAACGGGGTGTTTTGTGAAAAAAATTTTCAAACTTCGGATATGCGTAGTGACGCTTTAGTCCGTCCTACGTTAGCTTTTTTACGCTGTAAACTAAATCTTTCGCTTTTTAGACTCATGCAAACCCTTTATACGTATGGTTTTATAAAGTGTACTCTAGATACAGATTACAAGAAATGGAAACATAATTAGGGCCTCCAATCGAATTAGACCAACGACTACCTAATAACACGCCTTTAGTTAATTTAGGTTAGCCTAAAGAAATACTCTATAAAAACGTAACAATAAATAACTAACGGGTTAAAGAGTAACAAAAGGTCTTTGTAATTATAAGCCTAATATTATTATAGGCAATAATGTCAGTAAAATCATAGGTTCCTTTATAGCATGTAAATTGTAATCACTTCACAATCTATTTTCCAAAATAAATCACCATAACAAGTATATACGTGAAGTGATATTTTCTGTATAACGTCTGTACCACTTCATTTGTTAATTGAGTAGGCAAGACAACTGCTAAAAGTACTTATTTTATTCGATGATTCTATAAATATAAGGTTGAAAAGAATTCTTCTTTTCCTGTTTTTGTTGTTCGTTAATTATTTCGCTTGATTCAGACTATTACACTCCTAACAAATGAAAAAATCTCTTTATTAAGTGGACACTCGATTTTGATAAAAACAACCTACTATAAAACAACCACCTTAAGACCGTTTAAAAGTCGGATAATGTGCCGTAAAAGTACTTCGTACCTTTACCTAACCAAAAGTGAGTTTATTTACACAAGATGAGTCATGAATTCGAGCTAAATAAAATCGACTTTAGGAAATGATTCGGTTAAGACTTGGAGTCACAAAGACTCGTGTGTTTAGTAAAAAGTAAAGAATTCGAGTCGAGTTTTGGTTAAGAGGATTAGGAAGTGACGTCTCCGCTGTAAAACCCTGAAGCCTCAGTTCTCAGACATTAGTCTGCAAGGGTTAGTCTTCTTACCGTCGTGAACAAAACATAGGAAACAGGACCTTCCTTAGTTTGTGAGCTAGACTGAGTTGTTTGGTCCTTTACAGTAAAGCTAAAGTCTCCTTTTATTATCTTAATATGAATTCCCTTGAGTAAAAGCGGGCTGTACAAATGGAAAACCGGGAGACTGCGTCGCTACGGGTTGGACTCGTCCGGCAATAGAGGGAATTCCTCCCCGACGGGATCGTTCAACAACACAATGGTCAAACACTGACCCGTGAATAGGGGGCCAGTCTCTATCAATCCGTTGTGTAGGAAGACGCCAACCATCTACTGGGCTGGTATTCGGCTGTTGTTAATACTAAGTCACAGAGTCGACAAACCCAGAAGATAACTTCTTACAACTAATTAGTGAGACTTGATCATATTTGGACCTCGATGTTCCTACCAAAGGAGTCGTAAACTATACACCGTAAGAGTTGGCACACCAGCCTAGCAGCGGCACTGTACAGGGCAAACTTAAAGAGAAGGGCTTCGAGGTTTATTTTGGCAGTCACAAACTGTAGTTTCGAGTCAGAACGCAAGGTTATCCGCGAAAGTGTGTGGCCTCCATAAAAGAGGAGAAATCAAGGCTCTACAAGAACTTTACAAACGCGGTGTGGGTTTTTCGTTCTCTCTGCTCTGTTCACTGCAGTCGCCAAGTAAACGGAATTAGGTGGGAGTCCCTGTATAATGCCACACTTGCGCTTAGACGAGAAAATCAAGGAGTCCTTGATTTCTCAAAAGACTACTTTGATTTCATGCCGTTTCATGAACTACACTTTCGCGGAAAAACTCAGGACTGAGAGGTAACGATGCTTCAAAGGGGTTGTGAATTCCACACAGAGCAATTTCTTTTGTCTTGGTGAAAGTGGAGACACTAAA